CCTGTGTGGCTGGCAGGTTTGTTATGTGCTGGGCATTTTCTTTATGGGATGGGGAAATAAAATTTGACTTGCACCCAAACTTGTGGTTCTGCTACCAAAAACAACAGCACATCCCCCACTAACCCACCAGCTGGCTATAACTGAATCAAACGGAATCAACTGAAAAAATCATTGACAATTACAACTACTGTATTAAAGTGCTGACAAATTTAAGATAAATAACGATATTATTATTTTTTCCTAGAAGTTAATTATTCATGTGGTAACCTTTTAAGACATTACAGTATATTTTCTTTCTTAACCATCATTACCATTGAGATCAACAGAAAACATTTATCTTTATCTCAGCAGAATTACATGAAGGGTTAAAAAAGACTATTAAAGCAATGTCTTTTTACCTTTAATATATCCCCTTATATTCATACTGTTTGTTGCATAACATTTCAATCATTTATGCATTTAAATCATCATAGGGGTGCTTGCCATTTTGCCAAACAAGCCGGTTAGAAACCAGTAGATCTTGCCAAGTGAAAACGTAATAACATTATTCTTGAAGCAAAGTTTCCAACTAGGTCAAAGCATTCTATTTAAGTTAAGACCTGAATTCTGATTACTTTTTGCAAGGTGAGACTCGAAATTTGGGAAATTGAAATGGTAAAGTGTTGGCCGGACAAGACTGACTGCTCAAAATATTAGTTAGGACCAACTCTGGATTGGATCAGTTTTTCTGGAGAATTTTTAACAGCCAGACATTCCAATCATATTTCAAAACAATTTCCAGCAGAGATTTCAGCATCTGTAAACTCAGCATTATCCCTTTTTTACCTCTAATAAATTACAAGTCCATCTTGTTAAAACATTTTGACTTTATGGACTCAAAGAACCAAATAAATTCTGAAAAATGTATTCTCCCCCAATCTCATTTCCAGTAACGGGCATGAAAAGTAAAATGTTATATATTTGTACATACCGATCTTCGTGTAGCAAACAAAACACTCTGGCTTTTGCAGTCTTAGGCCTTGGCCTCTTCAGATGTGTTGATATCTGCACAAGCTGAGCTGAAGTATGAAATAAGAAAACAGACAGCAGAGTTTTTACATCACACTCACTCCAGGCAGTAGGCCAAGTTTGATGCATAAATTACCTAATGAATTAATAATTTTGCATAACCAGCCACTTACAGCCCATTGCACTCTCTTCCTTTCAGACATTTGATACAGAGAAACTATAGGTATTAGTGTAGAAATAAACTTCACTTACCTCAACTTGGGCTGGAAGAAATCTAGCCTCACTGCCGTGTATCTGGTACGTTTGTTATGCACTGGGTATTTTCTTTACGCAAGGCGGAATATTTGGCTTGCTCCCAAACTTCCTGCAGTTCTGCTGCCAAAAAATATGAGCACTCCTCAGCTAACTAACCCCACCAGCTACACATGCTGGCTAATTGAATCAAATGGAATGAACTGTAAAAATTAAGGCCAGGTGATTTCCACTTGCTGCAATAAGCAAGACCATTGTAACTGTTGATGAGATAAATGTTTTTTTTCTGCCTTGAAGCTAGTTAATTATTCATGTGGTTAAACCTTTTTAAACAATATTTTATATTTTCCATCAGTATTATCAGGAACAGCAGAAAAAAATTATCTTGGTCTTGGCAGAATTATATGAAGAGTGAGAAGACTATATAATAATGTTCTGTTCAATGTTTGTGCTGTAACATTAATAAAAAAGCCATTAGGATGATGCTTTTATTACGTTTTGCCAAACAAGTTCAGAAACCATTGGATCTATCCATAAGTGCAGGAAAACATGATAACAACACTATTCAATAATTTAAAGCAAAGTTTCCAACTGGGTCAAAGCAATTCCGCTTTTAAGTTAAGACCAAAATTCTGATTACTTTTCACAGACGGTAAAATTACAAGAAAATTGGCAAATAGAATGGTAAGTGTTGGCCAGACAAAACTAACTGGCAAATTGGTCTAAATAATGGACCAACTCTACACTGTAGAAGTGAAAATTTTCCCCCAGGGGGAGGGGGGGGGTACTTGGGTTAATGTTTGCTGGGTATGTGCCGCTGGCCTATCCCATTTTAGTAAAATCCAACTAGTGGTTTATTATCAATGCTGCATTCTGATTGGTTGAGCTACTACTAGGCTATATGTTATAGCCCACTAATAGAGTAAAGTGCCAGGTTTTTGGCGGCAAAAAAGGATTAAAGTCTAGCTTTAACTAGCTAAAATTTTTTTATTCTCAATATTTTTTACCAGCTAGTTGGATTTTACTAAAACAATTATTATTCCTCGAGCCGAATGGCCTCCGAGTCAATATAGCTCATTCGGGGTCGAGGAATAATTGTTAAATAGTCTATTTTTTGGCCAATTACAGACCCCATCTTAGTCACCTTTTGGAAAACGTAATTTTCACGATCTCAACTTAGTCTCTTTCTATTTATGCATCTACCTTATCAATATGGTTTCAAGCAGCGGAATGTAATGCTGTCAATGCAAGCGTATTGTTAAATTTAATAAACAACAACTTTCTGACTTTTTTAACCGAGAATCTTCCCATTTTGGATCCCTTCTTACCCCAAAAATCCGAAAATTTGCGACCCCATTATAGTCACTCCAGTTGACAAAATGCAACCCCATCCAGCAACACATCCACCTTAGCCTCTTGTGAGGGAGTACCCGCCCCCTCGGAAACTTTCACCTGCAGCTGGACATCGACCAAAACTTCCAGCAGAGATTTCGGCATCCATAACTCAACATTTTTTCTTCTCATTAAGTTACAATTTACCACTATTTTTGTTACAAAAATAATATTTCAATATACTGACGAGCCTCCTCATGCAAACACCCTGTCATTACCGAACTCCCCCAAAAAGTTACCACAATTTTCCCAGTCTATGCCAAAGTCGGAACCTCTCATACCCACTGAACATAATTTTTAATTATTTTTCTCAAAATTATGCATGCTGCTTATGCTTTTGTATCAAAAATAACCACTGAATACAAACACCAGTGGCACAATTTAATGCAGGGATAGTCTGAAGGAATTAAGCTGGTGTTCAAAAGTTGAAAAATTACCAAAAGACTGAGATTGTAAACGCAGGTCTTCAGCTTAGTAATCAACAGGAGACTGCTGTCCCATATATATAATAATTGTAATAAAAAGCTATACTCATCTTTAAAATACGCTACTAGCATTATGCGATTTTGTAGAATTTTGGAGTGGGGAAAGAGTGCTTATATGGGGTCTGAGACTTATAAACCGGTAGAGGAGAGTTATGACAAAGGAAGTGCATTCAAAATGTTTAAGGTTAGAAAAAGCTCAAGAGCCGTCGTGGTAACTCCTTTTAAACACTCCAAAAGCGGTCGAAACTCTAAGGTACATCCCACAACCCAATCTGTTATGTATTCTTTTCGATCAGGTTTTCAGTTGTAGGTATGAAATGTAAAATGTTGCAACGTACATACCTCTTCTTGTAGCAAAGAAAACGGGCTTTCGCAGTAGGCCCCCGCCTCTACAGCTGGGTATATATTCAAAAGCTGAGCTGAAGTAAACAGACGGCGGAGAAGGTAGCGCAGACGAGTGCAGATTCTACAGCACGCACAGGCCGCCCAAGGTCGATGTATAAATTTACTTTTGCATGACCACTTACGACAGACAGTTGATACAAAAGCTAATGAACAGATCGATATTGAAATTTAGGTGAAAGTGTAGAAACAAACTTCATTTATCTTAACTTGGGCTTGTTTTTGCTTTTTCTTCGTTATAAACCCAGACTCAGTTTATGTCCATTTTCAACTTCGTCATATAAAGAAAGCCTGAATCTAGCTGGAAACTGAAAAACTCCATGAAAATAATGAAAAACCATAACCTTTGCGTTTCGTTCTTCGTCTGTATCAATAAATAATATTACGATATCACACTGTGGTTTGGAAAAAATAGACTCTGATGGTGATTAATTGCAACTGTTGGATGTCACCCCGCGTGTACGGCTCCTGCAACTCGCGTTACATGCCCGATAGGTCAAGGCAGTACATAATTAAGGTCAAAATATTGATATACATCAGAATAGCGGAAGTGCGAATCACAATTGGTCGTCATTTCCGTTTTTTTTTTCTCGTTCATCATGTCCGGTAGTCTGCTACACAGCCGTTTTCAGTGTCGTCACGCAACGCTCCTCCCCTTCAGGGGAGGAGCGTTGCGTGACCACACTAAAAACGGCTGTGTAACAGACTACATGTTCGGCAGCATAGAGTGCAATTCGTAAAAGCCATTAGGTTTTCGTAAGAATCAAAATTTTTATCCCTAATACATGGTATTATAAGCTGGGACAAAAGCCGATTACGGCTCCTCGCTGGAGTCCGCCTGGGACTGGGGTTTAAGCCAGTCGGTTATCTTAGAGATTATCATACAGCGACATATTAATTGTCAACTTATTCGCAAAGAGATGATAACGTAGTCAGCCTGGTACTAATATTATTTGCGTTTACACTACACAGAAGGCTTATGATCAACAAATAGAAAACAAAGATTGAGATCCAGATTAGAGATGGAATGGAAGCCTGGGTGATACTTGTACTGTTCCTGGTAGCCTGCGGCATGGCGGTTTTGGTTGGGCGTGCTAAGTAATAAAGGCACTCAACGTCAATTTTCGCAAAATATCTGTTCGGAAGACGATTTGAGATCTAGAATTTTCGGAACATTTGTTGTAAAATTTCTTGCTTGCCTACCTCTCCTAGGATTTTCGAACATCCAAAAATTGGTATAATTGCCCATTTTTAACAGATTTTTACCCTAAAAAAACTCACCTAGATTTTTCGGGAGCCTTTTTTCTGGCTGAAATTTTCGAAAAGGTAAGTTTTGATCCCTATAATTTTCGGATCGCTAGACTTTCAGCTAGGAAATCCGAACAGATGAAAAATTTTTAGGGGATAAAAATGTACCCATATCTACCGTTTTTATACTAAAATACGTTTAACAATGCTAGTGGTTTTGAACTATATTCTCGTTGGGCGCCCCTGGGTGTTCAGAGAACCGAGGTTTTGCCAGAACAGTAGACTGCTTTTTATACTTAAATATTTACTTATTTCGACTTTAAAAGCCCTATCCATATTTCCTCAACCCTGTCCGCAACCGCATCACTTGGCCCTCTGTAAGATCGCCTTCTGATGATGATCGGTATCGTGATACAAGATGGGGCGAAACTTTTAGTTGAGATGAATGGTTTGAGAAACAATATTGCCAAATGCCTACCGTCTTAAGGGACGAACCATTAGGAAAGTTATGGGGGAGGGGAAGGGGAATTTTCGAGACGCAGAAATTTTGTTTTCGTTATCAAATTCCTTGAATGACATTTTTTCAGGCCATAGCATGAATATTCTTTAGGATTAATTGGCGTGCATGCATTTTTTTTCATTTAATTTTCCCTTGCGCGAATATTTTTTTTTTACTTCGCCCCCCCCCCCCACCCTCCCCCATAAGTTTTCTAATGGTCCGTCCCTAAGTAAAGTTTGTAGAATACATTAATATTTTATGTTCTAGATAACAGATTTTATGCCGATTTTATAGAATGCAACAGTCATTTTTACAGTTTAGTCTTTGAATAAGCGCATATCGGGTTTACTTAACAATGTTAACGGGGAAATAAACGGAAAAGATGTGATTTTGATTAAGATGACCATGTCGGCTGTCTTTCAAGTTTAAACGATGAACCGGTTGCGTGACAGTATTCTTCGCAGCCGCTCGGGTCGGAGTCACCCAATGCACTTCCGGCCCGTAAGACTACAATCTTACCCAGAGTAATGGAAAACCTATACCCCACCCTCCTATCTGAAATGGTACGTCGCGGCTTCATCTTTGATTCTGTCCAAAATTGTAGTTGTGTGAGGGCGATACTCTTCCGGAGTACAGTATCCGTCGGATTAAAACTTATACCGCGTTTAACTGCCGCCTGGTTAGCTCAGTAGGGAGAGCGCCGGTCTGCTGGGGGGTGGGGGGGGGTAATGAGTACTGCCAGGGAGGTTGGTGATAAGGGAAGGCAATCAGCGGCTTGTCGTATTTTAGCCTTGTCGTTTTACGAGGTTGGGGACTATATTAAAAGTATAGAAAGCAGCAAAGAGGAACTAGCTATTGCAAGGGAAAAGGGAAACAGAAAGAGAAGCATCAGTGTGCGATGTTCTGGCCAGGTCTTATCTGCGCATCGGAGGATACAAACAGAGTATTGAGTACGGTAAAAAAGCACTGAGCATTGCCAGGTATGCGCGAAAGAGGGAAAGAGAAATAGACGCACCTGTTGTTCTTTCAGGTTCGTACTATGAGGTTGGTGACTATCATGATCTAAGCGTAGAATGTGGCAAGCGAGCCCTGAGTATTGCAAAGGAAGTAGGAAACAGAAAAAGAAAAGCGGACGCATGCGCTGTTCTAGCCTGGCCAAACACAGCATAGAATACGGAAAACAATAGCCCATTTCCTAGTTCTCGCATTTTAGAGATCTGGTGCCGAAATTGACTCGCGAGAGCGAGGCTAAGTGCATTGTATCCTATCAAATTTCAGAAACAAAAGTAAAGCATTGTAAAGGAAGTGGGAAACAGGGTGCAGGAAGCTGCCGCGTGCCCTGTTTTGGCCAGGTCGTACGACGAGATTGAAAAAAACGACATAGCATAGAATAAGGTAGACAACAGATAGTTACAGCAGATGCAAAAGAATTTCGGAAGGGTAGTTCAGCTGGGCCCAGTTGTTCGAAGGCCGATTAGCGCTTAACCCTAGGTTAAATTTAACCCGGGTTTCTTTCTCTTGCGTTTAAAAGCATTTTCTCGGATAATTTTCTCTGTTATTTTTAAAGTTTTCAAAAATCAACTTGTCGACAAAAAGAATTCAAACTGAAATGATTTTTAAGCTTTCATATCTGAATTCAAATCTCGCACTAACCCTGGGTTATCTTAACCCAGCTTTGAACAACTCGGCCCAGGTAAAGACGGCAAAGAGTTCATAATCGGTTTCATTATTCCTCTAATCAAATGTACTGTTAGAATGAATTGCTGTTTTTAAATTACTGGTCAGGATGAAAAGACGCAATAATAGCTTCACCTCGGGAAGTTTATTGACCCTAACATTTGCGATGCTATGACTTATCAGTTCTATCGAACTGTTTTAATAAGTGACTGGACATTACTTGCAAGACCAAATAGAATCATGGCTTAAATGCCGTGTTTGAAAGAACAAGTATACCACTGTGTTGGGATGTTTTACAATCATGCCAAGGTCATTATAGAAATCCAACATAATGGCAACTTCGTCCTCTTCTTCGATGAAACACACTTTCTGGATAATTGCCTGAAGCTAATCGAGGTTCAAAAACTAATTTAAAACCATGGCTTATTACCAGCTAGCTGTGGGGAACGTCTAAGGCGAACAGTTCATCTTAGGATTTAGAATACTGATTAATGTCCTCGTTAACTAAATAATAAATTGAAAAGAAAAAGTTTCTAACTAAACCACTTAAGGTGCCAGGTAAGTATAACATGCTATTCGAGAATAGTAGAAATCCATCAAACTTGTTAAATAGATTCTTTTTAAAAAAATAAACTATCCTGAAAAAACACATTGGCCGTTCTTATACTAAGGAAGATAGAAAGAATGTATGAGAGCCGCTAAAATTGGGCCTGATCTCAGGTTAAACTTAGGCAAACATTTGTAGTTTGACTGGTTATGCGTCTCAAGTATGAAAACGGGTTCAAACGCATTGTGCGTCTTGTGCCCGTCTTTATACTTGACACGCATAACCAGACGAACTACAAATGTTTGCTTAAGTTCGTCCAGACGGATAATGTGTCCTTACTGTAAAAACGGCTAACTAATAATTCGTTTTAAAAAGTGGAAAAAAGAAATTAAAAAAAATTTACTGTTCAGATGAGTTTGACCTCGAATTCTGTGGAGAAAATTAATACAGAAATGTTCCGATTTGTGGAAAAAATGAAGAGATCTAGAGAAACGGTTTTTTATGGAGCACTCCTACTTGTTCATTAAACATGAGTAAACAATTCTAACTAGGCAAGAAACTGATTTGAGTCTGACACCGAACAAAAAGAATGTAAAACTTTCAAAAAGAAAAGAGCACACACAAATGATCTACTTCTAAATCTACACTTCATTACGTCGGTAAAGTCGATTGGACATCACACTACACTTACTGTTTTTAAGAAATAAAACACTTGGCAGGTAAATTTGTTTTAAAACAGTCAAGTGACTTAGAATTTACAATCGCTGAAGGCAAAGAATTCCAACCACATATGGATCTAAGGGAAAAAGAGACCTTCTATATTTTAAGGCATGGCTCCTACGTGTCCTTGTTTTAATATCTACAAGACTATGACTCAGTTTGTACATTAGTGATAATAATCTGTCTTTCTTTCTTCTCATTTCTAAAGTATCCCATTCCAGCCCTCTAAGCATATCTGTAATGCTAGCTGTTCGGTTGTAATTCTGGAGGTAAAAACGTGCCGCCTTTCTTTGAACTCTTTCAAGCAACATCATCAAACAAGAACGTCTATTTACAAATTTTATAGACACCGATCTTTTGTTGACATAAAATATTTACAAACCAACTAATGGATGAAATAAGAGGATAATTCAAACTAAAAATCTGTAACTGATGGACTGATAAAGGTTAGGAAGACGCCGATCCATCTGCACCTGGTATTAACCTGTTGAAAAAAAGTTGTTAGTGTTGTGGGGATGTTACCCAGACAGAATATAAAAGGAGGATGTACTATTTGCAGGAGGCTAACAAACCATTTTGATGCGGAGGTTTCTTATTACTTCTACAAGCTACTACAGCTTAATTACTCAGCTACAAAAAAACAAGAACTACCCGTCAGTGAAAACCAAAATGCGCTAAGTTCTACCCTTCAGGGAGACGCTTAACGAAAAAAGTTAACCCAGAGTGATTTACTCATAAGGACTGAAAACAATACAGTTTGAGGCGAGTTTGAAGTGATTAATGTCGCCCAATGTAAGGGAATCCAGATTCCGGAATCCAGGGAATTTTTGACTGTGGAATCCGGAATCATGGGCCTTGCAATCTTGAATACAGCTCAAAGAATCCGGAATCCCACTCTAATGAGACTGGAATCCGGAGTTCAAGTTTTAAACTAATAAAAAACTAATAAAAAATCATGGTACGGAAACCGGTACCTTTAATCCAGAATCCACGGGGTGGATCCGAGACTGTCTTGGATTCACTTACATGGGGCGACTGTTGATGATCACAGATTCAAGGCAAATTATGACCTTACACATTACTTTTTGCAGTTCATCCAGATTAATACTATTCTACTTTTCCTTTCTCTAAATACAACTTCTTCCTAAAATGTACTTGCGGTCAGAGGGATCGTTCAAATTCGCAATCGTTTTCTGATATCTCTTTAAAATAACATAAAAAGTTTACCATCTGAAAGACATTGAAACCATGACAAACCGGTACCCGACACGCAGGCTAATGTTTGGCTAATCTTGCTTTTTTAGTGAGAAGATCCTTGGTTACGTTTAAAACGCATTTACCGCGGTCAAGCCTACACTGATCGTCAAAACTGTCCAAACATTCTACATTTCCTTAAATGCCTACTGCCTAATTTCGAACCCAGACCTCTCTATAAAGACATGCAAAATTAACAAAACCCTTTAAATCGAGCGGATGTCTACTATGGTCCACTCTGAACCTTTGAGTACAATAACTGTGTGTGTGCTGACACGTGAAAATCATGAAAAACCTTAAATATGTTTGACTGAGTGACAACCATTTACAATTTTTGAAAGGCAAATACTCCGAGAGAACCCATGCCAGGTCCATGTCATAGGTAATGTGTACAGATGTACAGGATCATTGAAGAACAATTTTTCTTTTTCTTTTTTTCTTTTCTTTTGTTTTTGTTCCGTTTTGATGTTGTTGTTTTATTTGTTTATTCCTTTATTTGACCAGGTAATCAGATAAACAGATTTATTCAACTTGCTTTTCCACTGACAAATTAAGGGGGTGAACACAAGTGACATATTCCAGTCGCGGGTAGTTTGTTGTAGTACTTACTTGTCTCAGTATAGTGGGGCGAATCTCGAAAAACCATCGGATCACTGAGGATATGAACGGTGAGAGAGGTGGCCATTAAACTCGCGAACGTTTTCCAGCAATCTGTATCGGATTTTCTGCCATCTTTGTACTCTGAAATGCCTTTAATTATAATCCATGGAATGTCCAAGTCGTGAGCTGCTACATGTAGACCTACAATAGATTCGACTGAAATGATTTTATTACCAAATAGACTAGAAGGGAATCCTAGACAATCGTGGATACTGGGTTCCACGCCCTGGACTCAGGATTCCGGATTCCATGTACGGGATTCCGGATTCTTTGTCAGTGGAACTTGGATTCCGGATTCAATCGTTAGTGGGATCCCGGATTCCAAAGCCCTGGATTGGCGTTTCCACAAGTAAAAATTTCCCCGATTCCGGAATCCTGATTCTGTTACATGGGGAGAGGCTAGACATGCAAATTTAGATACGTTCTTAACAGTAACCAGCAATGAATCCAAGAAGAACGGCAAAAACAAGACTCGAATCATCATGGCGGCGTGCACATGACCGAACAATTCAAATTTGTCACAAACGCTCAAGAAAGCAAAATATTTAAAAGTAACTTAACTACCATCAAGGTAAAGTGTTCCAACAACTTTCCACGGCGGTATAGCCTTGTGTGGAAATTGCCTACACAACCTTGGAATAAATCGAAAATTTCACCATATACACCTCTGAAAACGGCTCTTCCCCAGCGCGAAAATCACTCCACAAATAACGCATTCTGATTGGTCGAATCTCGTGACGCACACCACCTGCATAAGAACAGAGTCCAACTCCTACAGGATTTGTCTGGAACACCAACATGACGGCCGTTTCATTGTTTTGGAACACCAAAATGGCCTCCATGACGTCATGTGAAAACGCTCTATTACTTGCCGCGTTGTATGATCGCTAGTCTGAACTGTCATCCGTCACTTCGCCTCAACCCCAACGGGCGGCAAGGCGAGAGAGACCCGCTGAGGGGCGGAGTGAAGACCCGGATAACATTTCAGACTGTGATTGTTGTGTGAGAACCCGCTGTTAATTACGCATCCCATCTGTCGCTTGCCATTTTCAGTGTGAACAAGCTTGTTTTTACGCTCCTTTTCACATGAAAATCGTGATTGAGGAACAATTACCAAATACGGTTTTATCACCTGAGCTGATAGAGTAAATTTTCTACCATAAGAGAATCTGGCCTGTTCCAGGCCCCAAGACAGTAATGTGCAGAGATGGTGAAAACCGAAGGGAAAAACACGCGGGGAAGACAAAACACCGCTCTCATTCCCCAGATCACGCGCGATCTATTTTCGCTCGGCCTTAGCCTGCGGAACTGACCGGATCGTTATGTACGGGTACTTTCTCTGCGTTTCCCCCAAACTTTTCACGGCTCCACCACCAGAAAACAACAGCACTCGCCCGCAAATCCTGCCGCCTAAGCGACCTCCCTATTATCTAAGAGCCTGGCACAGGTAAGAGATATTCAAAAGCTGGCTTTTTGACGTTTCTAATGTGAGCATATGATTTATGATTCAAAATTTCGTTTTTAAAAGTAAATGACCTTCTGAATTCTTATGAAACGTCCTTGTTAACCGTTGTTAAACGTTGCTAATCTTGGTACAACCTCTCCATTTCATGCTGTTATTAATGGCAAGCACTTGCTCGTTGACTTCGATTGTTTTATCTATTTCGGCGATGGGAAAATTGTTCAAAGTATGTGTCACGCGCTCTGAAAATTCAGCAAAACTTTCATGTGTTATCTGTTGGTCGAATTGTAGCAGGTGAAATTCCCGTTTCGTGGCTAATCTCCTTGACGGAGACGTCCTTCTCGTCGGCCAAAAACGTAATGTATGCCTGCTCCTCTGCACTCAAAGCGCGCGTAAAAACCCTGCATGGAAAATGAAATTCACAAACGTTCACGACTGGCCGTGACTTGAATCAAGAAAGACAGACAAGTTGATTTTCTTGTCATCAACTCCTCTGTTGTCACTTATTTCCCCTTAAGTATCTACTTTTCTGTGAAATGTACGAAATATATAAAGAACAGATTTATGTGTCGGCGGTAAATGCTCAAAATCGACTTTTCCAGTCAAATACAATCCTGGACAAAACTACTTGAGAAAATGTTTTCATTAAGCACACTACCAAACGCAACAAAACTATTTCCATATCAACGGCTTTGCGTAAAGAATACCGCCTCCCCCAATTCAAAGTTGTTTCCTACAAATGCTTAGGGATCCGGCTTTCTTTTGAAGACCCAACAACACTGCTTCCAGGGGGAGGGGGGGAGGGAAGAATCCGTCGGCTACGAAGTTCAGAAAAAATGCCCCCCAAATATGCAATTTTCTCAACAGTTTTGTCCAAGATTGTAGGGTTTTCCTTGAAAGGGCTAACACAAACTTTAACATTTTGTACATATTTGTCTAGCAGAGCTTTCTGTAGAGTTATATTAAGTATTGCTTACAACTTACGTTGGATATGCTCGAATATTTTGTTTTGCACAGAGAGGAGTCTCTTTTGTACAATCCACCTGAGGAAAAGATGTATCAACTGATTTCAATACAATAACTGATGTACATGTTGTGGTTCAATGTCTACATGTAAATATAAAAGAAAAACTTTGTCCTCTTTTTCGAAGTAATTATTAACACATTACCATACCCAAAAACTAACTAAATTAAAATTTGAGCCAAGGATAAAGTTGAACCACAAAATTATACAACTAGGAGCTGGTAAAATTTTCTGTTTAAATACTTAAAGCAACTTGTTACCAGGACTTTTAAATGATTTCTGTTACACTCAAAAAGCTGTGAAAACCAGCTGAAATATTTCAGAAATGATTGTGTTATGACCAATCACAACAAAGATCAGAACATGCATGCAAGCCACAAAACCACAAACTAAATTAAGGTTGCTGTTTGACATTTGGTTTTCTTACCCTTGATTGACTTTTTCCTCGCAACACAATAACATTCCAGAAATATTTGTGGTATTCACAGTTTTCCGAGTTTTACAGTAGTCACCAAAAGGTTGAACTTCAAGTACACTGTACCTTAGCTATTGTTACAAGCTCGTTATGTGGAATTTTCCCATAGTGGTCGGCTAACAAATTCCATGTTGGCATGAAATTTTTACAGTGCTCACAGCTACATTTTGTACACAAAACAAAGGAAAAACAGAATAACTCCACGAGGTCATCATCAAAATGTTTTGCCTCAATAAGTTAATTACCACAACTATTTCTTACTGACAGGACACCATGACCCACCAGCAGGTATGCCCAGGGCCTTTCCACACTAGCAGACAAAATCGGAATGGTCTTTGGAACATCTAAACTGAAAAATTGTATGGTGACAATTTTCGTTTTGAAGAAATATATCTGCATGGGAAACTATTTACTTTTATCAGGCCATTACATTTGATGAGACTTTGTTTATGGAAAGAATGGTTTCACAACAAATGATTGACAAGAAAAACACATCCTTGTTTATTTAGTTGATTTTGTCCAGTTTTTACACAGGATAAATTTTGTCCAAGGCGCCTTTGAAGATTTCCTGTCTGGGACAAAATTTGTAAAGTTGAGACAAACCATCCAAATTTGTTAAGCGTTGGTGATGACAGAAAATTTGTCTTAATAAAAAGCTTTTTTGCTAGTGCAGATAGGCCCTAAGTCTCCTATTGTTAAGAAGAGAAGTGCAGTCAAAGGGAGCATGAGGGATGATATGTGCACCCTTTGCTCACGCTTTTCACTTTCTGCCCCCCACGTGAATTTTCCTCATCCAACTACCGGTTGATAGTCCACTGAAAGGCGACTCAAATGCCAAGGGGCATGAACAGGGAGCTATCACTTGTGAGAGACTGGTCTGAAACTGGATGGGCAAATATAACATTTTTTTGGCTGAAATGAGCTAATGGTCAATCTCTTTCTAGTGTTCTCTCCTACTTGTCCCTTCAGAGCAAGAGAGGAAAGAGTAGCGATGAGGACCCTGTTAGGATAAACATTTCTACAAACAACATGGCCTTGAAACAGCAACATAAGACTAGACAGCCTGCGGGGAGCAGATGTTTTTTCTGCAATTTTTTTGGCAGGTGAAACAACAGCCGAAAAAAGTGTCTGCTTCCCACAGGCTAGGGACTATATGAAATGGCAACAAGTGACCTTAAGACCAGTAAAACACTGACAAGGACATGGACTACTCCTCAAAATGTGAAACGACCATATTTCACATTCAGACAGAAGGGACAGCACCCCTCCCCCTACCCTTCTTCTACGAGGTTTATGCTAACATCGGAAATTTTTGGCATAGTTCGTCATTTCGAGCATAATTTCCAACTATTTTCCGAAAAAAGCACTGCCAGCATAAATTTCACTTCTGGCCAATTATTACGCATACAACTGGCAATTTTTTGGGTCCGAGATCAGCGTAACAAAACTTTTTGGTGCCTGTTTAGTATCACACTTATGAGACTTGGGTCCCAAGACTAAGACTCTTTCTGCAGGACTCAACTCATGCGCATTTGCGCTAACAAGCTAGGTTACCCAATATGGTGTCGTTGTCAGACAGTTTTGTTGTCTCAGCGGTTTATACTTTCCACATTCATCTACCACTGCAAATTCCCTGCAAGACAGTAATAGCCGAGGAATTTATAATGAATTGTGCACTAATAAATTCTCTTGATGTAAATAGGGTAAAAGTGTTTGCATTTACTTGTTTGTTGCATAGCTCTTAGTTGGAGGTGTATTCACCAAACTTAAAGTAAAAGGTAGAAGCATAATTTCCGCATTTTTTGTTAAAATGAGCATGACTTACAAAAACTAACATAAATTATTGGCATAATTTTAGAAGTATACGAGCAATGCTAGTACCATACGGTGTTATTTTTGCGAGCACAACCTATAAAAGCTTAGTCCTGGAGAACAGGAGGGAGAATGGGGAGAGAATGGGAACTGACAGTGACTTTTAGAGTAAATATTAGAATGACAAAAAATTTTCTTAGAGGACTGGACTTTGAGTCTGACGGAGACCTCCAGGGAAACCCCGGGTCCTGTTACTGGTCAACAAGGGTGAAGGACGCAGTCTACACTCTTCGATATTAGGCAGGAACTCCTCTTCTTCCTTGTCAGTCTCATTTTCAGTGTAACCGTTACTAACGGGAGTTGCATGCGGATGAGATTATATGACTGGTTAAGTGTGGTATATCCCGGTAATCCGGTCGTAGACTAAAAAAAATAATGTGTATACTCTCAGAAGTAAAAAAGGGCCTCACCTTATCTTATGTTCTCCAGAGCTTCCATCTTAATACGATGCGATTTAGCGATTTCTTTTACCCCTGTGTTTCCCCGTAGATAGTCAAGAACCTTGAATTAATCAAACTTGTCAAGTCCGTCTGCAAAATAGCAGCAAAATCCTAGTTCTGGCCCTCCACGTGTGTACCAGGATTTGAGTACGTGTCAGGACTGGACTGTTAAAATAACATCGTCCATTGGCCAATCAGGTTAAAGGGAACCTTGAAACTCATTTTTGGTAATTCCTTGGCTCCAGAACAAGGATATCAGTGCTGCATCACTAACCAGGGTTAGATAACATCTATTATTATACATTGTAGTCACCATCTGTCTTCTCATTGGTTAAAAGCCTACAGTTAATTCTGGGAAACAGCGCAACCTACAGATTAGTGAATAATCTGTAGGTTGCGCGCGCAATGCATGATTTCCAAGAGCAATGTTTAAGTGCACGGACAGCAATGTCAAGTTCGCGGACAGCGAAGTAAGAATAGCTTCTCGATTCGCTTCATCGACCCAGCAAGAAATTGAGAAATTACTTGAAGATAAAGTATAGTAAAACAATTATTAGATTCAGTTTTTCTTATATCCGGAATAATCAAGGTCTCGGTTAGTGTTATCAGCCTCAGCCTTCGGCTTCGGCTGATAACACTTACCTCCGACCTTGATTATTCCGGATATCACAAAAACCTCATCCAATAATTGTTTAAAGTCGCAAAACAATTTGAGCAATTTTCCTAAAGTCGCCCTAAGTCGCCTTAAATCGCTTGAAGTCGCCTAAAGTTACGGCGACTTAAGGTCCCAGAGTACGCCTTTGGTAGAACATCATACGCGTCGGCTTGCTGTTCCTTATTTCCCAGTTCCTTGCTGATGCGTAACCACCTTTTCGTGTATTTTCTGCTTTCTTGATCATTCCCTTCTTTACGATACGACTTTGCTAGAGCAGCACACGCTTCGGCTTGCTGTTCCTTATTTCCCAGTTCCTTACTGATGCGTAACCACCTTTTCGCGTATTTTCTGCTTTCTTCGTCATTCCCTCCTTTACGATACGACTTTGCTAGAGCAGCACACGCTTCGGCTTGCTGTTCCTTATTTCCCAGTTCCATGCTGATGTGGAGAAACTCTTTCATGTATTTTATGCTTTCTTGATCTTTCCCTTTTTTACAAAACCACTTTGCTACAACCCCAAACGCTTCGGCTTCCTCTTCCTTGCTGCTGCGTGGCAACTCTGTTGTGTATCTTCTGCTTCCTTGATCATTCCCTTCTTTACGATACGACTTTGCTAGAGCAGCACACGCTTCGGCTTGCTGTTCCTTATTTCCCAGTTCCTTACTGATGCGTAACCACCTTTTCGCGTATTTTCTGCTTTCTTCGTCATTCCCTCCTTTACGATACGACTTTGCTAGAGCAGCACACGCTTCGGCTTGCTGTTCCTTATTTCCCAGTTCCATGCTGATGTACAGAAACTCTTTCATGTATTTTATGCTTTCTTGATCTTTCCCTTTTTGACAAAACCACTTTGCTATAACCCCAAACGCTTCGGCTTTCTCTTCCTTGCTGCTGCGTGGCAACTCTGTTGTGTATCTTCTGCTTCCTTGATCATTCCCTTCTTTGCAACACGACTTTCCTTGAAAATCACATGCTTCGGCTTGCTGTTCCTTGCTGATACGTGGCAACTCTGTTGTGTATCTTCTGCTTCCTTGATCATTCCCTTCTTTACAACACGACTTTCCTTGAAAATCACATGCTTCTGCTTGCTGTTCCTTGCTGATACGTGGCAACTCTGTTGTGTATCTTCTGCTTTCTTGATCATTCCCTTCTTTACAATACGACTTTCCTAGAACATCACACGCTGCGGCTTGCTGTTCCTTGCTGATACGTGGTAACTCTGTTGTGTATCTTCTGCTTTCTTGATCTTTCCCTTTTTTACAAAACCACTTTGCTATAAACCCAAACGCTTCGGCTAGCTCTTCCTTGCTGATACGTGGTAACTCTGTTTTGTATCTTCTGCTTTCTTGATCATTCCCTTTTTTACAATACCACTTTCCTAGAACATCACACGCTGCGGCTTGCTCTTCCTTGCTGATACGTGGTAAC